TAAATAAATGCTAAATGAACATAGACCATGGAAAGTCTTGCAGTAGTATTATGAGTGGATGTGTGTGTAAGACAGAGAGAGAGAGAAGGATGTGTGTGCTGTTATGGGTACAGGCTTGATGAACTAGACTCAAAATAGCTGTAAGCTTGAAATTTGGTCTTCACTTTCATCTTTCCCTGTTTTCTTCCCAGCACTGGGCTCACTTCCTCTTATTTCCATCGTGGGATATGTTGACGGAGGTATCCAGTTACTCTGCCTGTCCTCAGGCTGGTTCCCACAGCCCACAGTCAAGTGGAAAGGTCCACAAGGACAGCATTTGTCTTCAGACTCCAGAGCAAATGCAGATGGGCACAACATGTATGATGTGGAGACCTCCATTATAGTCCAGGAAAATGCTGGGAGCATATCGTGTTCCATCCACCTTGCTGAGCAGAGTCATGAGGTGGAATCCAAGGTATTGATAAGAGGTGAGTGGGGAGAAGGAGGAGCAAGGAATGGGTGTGTGCATAGGTAACCCAGGGTAGAGCAGCAGCTTGTGTCTGCAATTGCTGTGTAGTACCACCCAGCTTCAGTGATTTGTTTTGAGAGTCAAAGATTGATGAGGTATAAAAAAAATAACCAAACATTTGATAAGGCAGAAGTAAAATTGTTTACAATTCCAAGGCAGTAGAATTAAGTATTTCCTTCACCACACAATACCCCAATGGTGCAACACTCACAACTCAACACATACAAAACTTAAGGAAATTAACTCTAGGATTAAGAAAATAATTGTTTCTTCATTTTGAGAAAACGTCATTGCTCCTTCATGAAGCAGAATAAAAATGTAGAAAATTTCAGAAAGGATTTACAAATAGTAGGAAAATTTACATAAACTAAAATGTTTCCAGAATCACACTCAATGTAAAAGGATTTAATTTGCCATTTAAAAGACAAAGAATCTCAGACTGGATTTAAAAGTCTCATTGCTTGAACCCAGGAGGCAGAGGTTGCAGTGAGTCGAGATGGCACCACTGTGCTCCAGCCTGGGCGGCAGAGCGAGACTCCATCTCAAAAACATAAAAATAAAAGTAAAAATAAATAAATAATAAAAATCTCAATTGCAATTCATAAGAGGAAAAATGTAGCACATATGACCTATTCATTGAAAATAAAAAATACTAGAGAAATATTAATCAAGAAGAATCGAACAGATATATTAGTGTCAAGAAAAGAAAGACAAGGGTTTAAGAAAAAGGACATTAGGAATAGAGTTATTTCAAAAACATAAGTTCACTCAGTATAAGAGTATGAAAATTTTAAATATATATGTACCTGATACATGTAAAATATAAAAAGAAAATATCAACAGAAATATAAGAAAAAAGATCATACTTTGAGTTCTAAAATTGATCAAATAAGTAGACAAAATGAGTAAGAATATATTATATTTGAAGTAAAAATTAATAAGCCTGAAATAACATATTTTGGAGAAGAATTCCAGGTTTGTAGAATACACATGAATTTTTACCACACTTGGAAATTTTACAAAATTTTATCAGATATAAACACATAAAATGGTTTTCAGAAAATTTTCAAACATTGATATCATGCACACAAAATTCTCTAATCATAATTTAATAAAGTTAAATGACCATAGCAAATGATAGTTTAAATTCTTAAGTGTTTGAAAAATTTTTAAACATAAAAATAACTGAGAAATTGAAGAAAGCATAGTGATAGGTAGAAAATTCTTAAAACTGAATGATAATAAAATTACAATCTATCATAATGTGTAAAATGGTACTAATACGGTTTTCTGAGTCAAAATTTTATCCGGCCAGGCGCGGTGGCTCACGCCTGTAATCCCAGCGCTTTGGGAGGCCAAGGCGGGTGGATCACCTGAGGTCAAGAGTTCAAGACCAGCCTGGCCAAAATGGTGAAAGCCTGTCTCTACTAAAACTTCAAAAATTAGCCAGGTGTGGTGGCGGGTACCTGTAATCCCAGCTACCCGGGAAGCTGAGGCAGGAGAATCGCTTGAACCTGGGAAGTGGAGGTTGCAGTAAGTTGAGATCATGCCACTGCACTCCAGCCTGGGGGACAGAGCAACACTCCATCTAAAAAAAAAAAAAAAAAAAAAATTATATCCTTAAATCCTTAAATGTTCTTATCAGCATGAAATAGCTGAATATTGATATTAGGCATCTATATATATTTCAGAAAACAGCAAAAGAAAGTGGAAGAAATCCTAAAGATATAGAAATATGGAAATATTAAGACAAATAGTGCAGATTAATACATCTAAAGTTAGATGGTTCAAAGTGTTATTAAAATAGATAAACTGGCAACATCAGTTAAGAATAAAAGAGAAACAGCACAATTAAATAATGCAGGAAATAAGAAGGTACAACTAAAGATTTAGTAGAGATTTATGAGATAAGCTGCTTTGAATAACTTTTTCCTTTTCTACTGAATATGATGAAGTGAAAGTTTTCATAGAAAAATGTAAAATACAGACCAGGTGCAGTGGCTCACGCCTGTAGTCCCAGCACTTTGGAAGGCTGAAGCGGGCAGATCGCTTGAGGTCAGGAGTTCGAGACCAGCCTGCCCAACATGGCAAAACCCCATCTCTACTAAAAATACAAAAATTAGGTGGGCATGGTGGTGTGTGTCTGTAATCCCAGCTACTCGGGAGGCTGAGGCATGAGAATCACTTGAATCCAGGAGGCAGAGATTGCAGTGAGCTGAGATCACCTCACTGCACTCCAGCCTGGGGGACAGAGTGAGACTCTGTCTCAAAAATTTTTTAAAAAGAAGACAAATGTAAAATACAAAATCCAAAGGAAAGATAGACTACCTGACTAATCTGTAACCACGAAAGAGGTGGAGTCAGCATTTAAAAGTCTTCCCACAAGGAAGACACAAGGGCTACATTTTTTTATGTACAAAGTCTACCAAATATTCAAGAAAAGAGAAAATGTATCTTTCAGAAAGTCGTCCAGAAAGCAGAAAAAATAGGAAATATTAAACTAATTTTATTGAGTCAACATAATTTTGGCACCATAACAGAAATGGGCAACTCGAAAAAGGAAAAATTTTTACCAACGTTATTCATAATTGAAAATGTAAAAATCTTACCAAAAATTTTGCAAGTAGAAAAGTCCACAAAAACATATCTCATGACCAAACTTATCCTGGAAAAAAATGTTAGGTCAACATGGGAACATATATTAATGTGATTATTACCATAATTAGTTAAAAGAGATAAACTATAATTTTCTTAGTAGACATAAATAAAACATAGATAACTTTCAACATCTATTCATCATGATTTCAACACTTGCAAATCTAGAAATAGAAGAAAACTTTCCATCAATCTAGAAATAGGAGAGACCCTGCTTAATCGGATAAAAAGATATCTAAAGATACTTGCAGCAAACATCATACAAAATAGTAAGCCACTTAATTTTTTAAATACACACAGAAAACATACCTAATGTGTCATTTAAAATCATAACATAAGGAGATTGCATTAAACACTTCAGCTCCGTATTATATTAGAGTACTGTTACTATTAGCAGTCACTTCAATAAGGGAAGAAAATGTAAAAGTTATAACTTTTAGAAAGAAAAAAATAAAATGGCCATTGTTCACAGTCTACATGATTATATAAATGGAAAATTTAGGAAAATTTACAGACAAATTCTTTCAACTCATAAAAGAACCCATCGTGTTCATGAAAAATGAGATAAATAAACAAAATCCATTGCATTAGTAAACACCAGCAAAGGAAGAAAAGCACATGCCATGTACAATAACAATAAAAAAATGTTAACCAGGAATAAGTCTAATAAAACATTTACAAAATCTTATTGAAGGGTATTACAAAACTGCATTAACAGACACTAATGAAAACTAAAATAAAAGAACAAATATAACACCTTTCAGATAAGATGCATATTTTTAAAGATATCAGTTCTCCTACAATTGCTATACAGATTCAATACAATTCCATAGAAAAATTTCAGCACATTTTTTTGTTTGTTTTTGAGACGAGCTGTCACTCTGTCGCCCATGGCTTGAGTAGAGTGTTGCAATCATGGCTCACTGCAACCTCAACTTCCCCATGCTCAAGCAATCCTCCCACCTCAGCCTCCCAAGTAGCTGGGACCACAGGTGTGCACCACCTTGCCTGGCTAATTTTTTTATTTTAAATATTTTTAGAGATGGGGATCTCACTTTGTTGCCTAGACCGGTCTCAAACCTTCCTTAAGAAATCCTCCCACCTCGGCCTACCAAACTGTTGGGATTACAGGCATGAGCCACCGCACTTGACTCAGAGTTTTCTTAAAGCCTAACAAGTCCATTCCAAAATTTATGTGGCCAAAACAAATAGCCAAGAAGTGCTAAGATACAGTGGAATAAGAGCCAAGCTAAGAGCTTAGTCTTATCTCAGAGACATATCCCAAAGCTTTGAAGATTAAGCCCAATTAAAATTATTGGCACAGAGAATAACCCTATGGATCAATGAGAAAGAACAGAAAGCCCAGAACAAATCCAAGCTGGAACAGAAACTGAGGTACACAGAGGTGACCTTGCATGTGGTGTAGTGTGTGAAGCAAGGTCCACTCAATAACATTGCCGCACAGTCATACCTGCTTAGAAGAAGATGACATTGAACTTCCACCTCATTACATAACACACACAACACACACGTGAATATATATATAAATCCAGATGGATCAAGACTTATACAGAAATGGCAAAGCTTTAAAGCTGTAGAAGAAATTGGAGTCTGGGGATTCCTTAAATGGGTAAAATGGTCTTACCTGCTTAGTAATCACTGAGGGGTCTGTGGGACTGTTTTTCAGAGACGTTTTTCCAGCCCTCACCTTGGCGCCTGGCCTCTATTTTACTCGGATTACTCTGTGGTGGCCTATGTGTTGTTGTCATGGGGATGACAGTTGTTTTTTTCAAATCCAAGGTAAGTGAGAGAGAGAAGTATGGGCCCACATTTCTTCGTGGTTCCTGTGGAGCTGGTATCAGGCTGCCCTCACACACCTCCGGGCTCTGTTGTTCCAGCCCTAGGCCCCCAGGGTCCGCCACCTGAGGCACAGGGAAGCCAGTCCTCAGCCTCCTCTGTGCTGGCCTGAACGGCTCCTTCAGGAAATGCCAGCCTCTGCCAATCCCTTTCTACTTTACATGGAGCACAGGATAAGCAGATCATTGATTTTCAGTACAAAAAGAGTTCACATAATTCCTACAACAGGCTGAGTGTGTTGGCTCGTGTCTGTAATCCCAGCACTTTGGGAGGCCAATGTGGAAGGATCACTTGAGCCCAGGAGTGTAAGATCATCCTGGGCAACATGGCGAGAACTCCTCTCTATAAAAAATTTTAAAAAATAAAATAAAATATTAGCTGGGTGTGGTGGTTCATGACTGTGGTCCCAGCTACTCAGGAGGTTGAGATGGGAGGCTGGCTTGAGCACAGGAGGTCAAGGCTTTAGTGAGCCATGTTCACACCACTGCACGCCAGCCTGGGCAACAGAGTGAGACCCTGACTCAAAAAATAAATATATAAAAATAAATAAATTTCTACTAGCTACAACAAGAGTCTTATAAGAAAATTTCAGGGTAGTTATTTCCTCTTTCATAAAAGAGGAAATAAAACTCACTGACTGAGATAAAATGATAATCTCAGTAAGAGACTTCACCCCAGAACAAATTTCCTCCTTGGGAGTGACACTTCCCCTTGGGGATGAGGCCGCCCCCACCTCCCCTCCCAGCCGCCTTCTCCCACCTCCATCCCCCTGCCTCCCCTCCCAGCCGCCTTCTCCCACCTCCATCCCCCTGCCTCCCCTCCCAGCCGCCTTCTCCCATCTCCATCCCCACCTCCACAGCATCCCTGCTGTTGTCCTTCTCCTTAGCATGAACCTTCCTGATCTCTTGCTTCCCGCCAGACAGCTACGATCCGTGCGGGGGGCTGCGGAGACGAGCACATGTAAGTGTTCTAGGAGAGGCCCTGCCCTTCACACCCGCAGCTTGTCCCACCTGTGCAAGCAGCCAGGGTCATGTTTGTACCTTGCACACTCCTGTGTCCACCACTGAATACACTGTTTCTGTTTCAGGGAAAATCCAGGCAGAATTGGGTAAGTGTGTGTCACGTCCTGAGCCTCCCACACATGGTTCTCCCGGGTCCCTCCCTGATCCACAGCGTGAGCCTCTGGAGACCCCGGCTCCAGGCTGGACAGGAAGTACTGGCAGGGGGAGGAGAGCAGCTGCCTCGCTCTCTCCATCCACGGCTAATGAGTTGCCCCTCAGATATCTGGAGGGCTTAGGATAGGCCTCAGGGCCTGGAAGTCCCATCTGTGCCTGTTGCCCGTTGGTCCGCTCTGTGTGTGGTGGGGGGAGGTGTTGATCACGAGCTCTGAGGGTGTGGACCACAGGGAGGAACTTGAGAAAAATTGGTGGGTGATCCTCAACCTCCCTGGCCTGATGCTTTGAGACTTTACCCAGTCCTGTATCAACCACTAAATCGTCTGCTTTTTGTTTCGTGGAAACTGCAGGATAAACTAAGTGAGAGTGTTATCACATGCAGGGCTTTCCTCCCACGCTGTCCTTGGGCCCTGCTCTGTGATGTCAGCCTCTTATGTGTTTTTCTTTTTTTCTTTTTGTTTCAGACTTGGTGAAGATACACAAACAGGCAGGTGAGAGACTCTGCTCCCTCAACTTACCTCTTTCTTCCAAGTTCCTCATTTATGGATTTTTATATCCTGAGGCCCATGGGTCCCTGCAGAACCAAGTTTGTGATGGGGACCCTGAATTGTCTAGATTCTGGGGGAGGTGCATTTTGTAGAGAAGCCCCATAGCTGCCTTCAGATCTCTTGAGAGGGCCCATGACACTCAAAAAGGTCCTCATCCTTGGTCTCTCCCTTCTCCCTGTGTCCTGTTCCCCACCTGAGCACTGAACTGCCTGTTCTGTCTGCTTGCTTTCAGAATTGAGAGAGGCCCGGAAACACGCAGGTACCAACGCCTGAGAGGGTGACAGTGGGCATGGAGTAGGAAGATGACTAGTGACAAATATGGAGCCCACCCGGCTTCCAGACAGCAAATCTGTGATGCCCCAATCCACCCCAGGTTGCCGCTGCCTCTAAATGCACTTCTTGGCCCAGGACTTGGAAGGAAAAGCACAGGGACTGGGTCAGCTCGGAGGGGTCACAGGCAAGACGCCAGGGAACTGAGGCACCAGTAGCTGGCTTCTAGGGGTCTGTGCTAAGGGGAAAGAAGTGAAGTCAGCAGGAATGGGTGGGTGGAAGGAAGGTGAATTCTGGAGTCACTCAAGGTCTCACAAAGTCAAATATGGGCTTACCTGGGAGGGCAGTGGTCGAGCTGGGTGATGCAGAGGAGTTGAACCTCTGGTGGTTGAGCATCTCCAAGCATCAGTGAGGCACAGGGGCTGCCCTGGAGAAGAGACACGGCTGAGGGATAGTGGGACTGGCCAGATCCTATCGGGAGCCAGTCTGCAGTGGGAGGGTCGACCTCTTGTTCCAGCCCAGATTTCCTCTTCAGTAACTCACGCTTCCTCTCTCCCCCACCGCACCTCAGTGGAGGTGACTCTGGACCCGGAGACGGCTCACCCACAGCTCTGCGTTTCTGATCTGAAAACTGTAACCCATAGAAAAGGTCCCCAGAAGGTGCCTTACTCTACGAAGAGATTCACAAGGAAGAGTGTGGTGGCGTCTCAGGGTTTCCAGGCAGGGAAACATTACTGGGAGGTGGACGTGGGACAACATGTAGGGTGGTGTGTGGGAGTGTGCCAGGATGACACAGACAGGAGGAAGGACTCTGTGACTTTGTCTCCCAACAATGGGTACTGGGTCTTCGGACTGACGACAGAATATTTGTATTTCACATTCAATCCCCATTTTATCAACCTCTCCCTCGAGACCCCTCCTACACGAGTAGGGGTCTTCCTGGACTATGAGGGTGGGAACATCTCCTTCTTCAACACAAATGACCAGTCCAGAATTTGTATCCTGACATGTCAGTTTCAAGGCCTCTTGAGACCCTATATCCAGCATGTGATCTATGAAGAGGAAAATAGGACTCCCATATTCATATGTCCAGTGTCCTGGGATCAGAGAGAGAAGACCCTGCTTAAAGGGCCCCACACCGCAGACCCAGACACAGCCAAGGGAGAGTGCGCCCCACAGGCGGCCCCAGCTTCCTCTCCGAAGCCTGTGCACAGGAAGTCACGCCTCCCACTCTCCTTTAGGGTGCTGAGGTTCTTCTCTCCTAAGCCCGGCAGCAGCAGCAGCTTCCAGATGAGGGAGGATTGGCCTGTCCCTGTGGGAGTCAGAAGCCATGGCTGCCCTGAAGTGGGGATGGAATAGACTCACATAAGATTTACTTTGTGAAAACTCCATCCAGCTAAGTGATCTTGAACAAGTCACAACCTCCCAGGCTCCTCACTTGTTAGTCAGGAATAGTGATTCCCACCTCGCAGGTAAAGATTAAAGAGATGATGAATGTGAATCCTGCTTGCAGGTTTGATGGCACAGTGTTTTCTAATGATGTGTTTTTATATTATACATTTTCCCACCATAAACTCTGTTTGCTTATTCCACATTAATTTACTTTTCTCTATACCAAATCGCCCACGGGATAGTTATTGAACACCTGCTATGTGAGGCTCAAAGAATAAAGAGGAGGGAGGATTTTTCACTGATTCTATAAGCCCAGCATTACCTGATACCAAAACCAGGCAAAGAAAACAGAAGAAGAGGAAGGAAAACTACAGGTCCATATCCCTCATTAACATAGACACAAAAATTCTAAATAAAATTTTAGCAAATGAAACTAAACAATTTATTTAAAGATGACATATAACTACTCAGTGTGGTTTGTCCCACAAATGCAGGGTTGGTTTAATATTTAAATATCAGTCAGTGTAATTCAGCACATTAATAAAGTAAAAAAGAAAACCATATGATCATTTCAATAGATACAGAGCAAAAGTTTTATAAAGCCACCATCATTACTGATAAAACCTGTCAACAAAGAAGATACACAGATGAAAAATAAGCACATGAAGAGATAGTCAATGTCATTAAATATTAAGGAAATGCAAACTAAAACCACAACAACATACCATTACCATCTATTAGAGTGGCTAAAATTACAAAGACTGACCATAGCAAGCGCTGGTGAGGATGTGGAAGGAGGGAAACTGTCATGCACTGCTCATGGGAATGTCAAATAACATAGTCACTTTGGAAAACAGTTCAGTAGTTTCCTTAAAAGTTAAACAGTCACTAACCACATGATCCAGCATGGCCTTCTAATTATTTTTCCAAGAGAAAAGGAAATATGTGAATGTTCATAGCAGCTTTATTTGTAACAGCCAAAATTTGAAAACAACACAAAGCTCACCAGTTGATGAACAAATTATGACATATCCATGCAAATAAAGTGCCACTCAGAAACAAAAAAGAATAAGCTATTTTATACACACAAAATCATGAAATCTCACAGCAATTATTCCCAGTAGTGCTTGCTTCGGCAGCACGTTTACTAAAATTGGAATGATACAGAGATTAGCGTGGCCCCTGCACAAGGAGGACGTGCACATCCATGAAGTGTTCCATAGTTAAATTTAATTTTACGATAAAGAAAAACACTGGAAGGATCTGGCAAGATGTCTGAATAGGAACAGCTCCGGCTTGCAGCTCCCAGCGAGACCAATGCAGAAGACAGGTGATTTCTGCATTTCCAACTGAGGTACCCTGTTCATGTCATGAGGACTGGTTAGGCGGTGAGTGCAGCCCATGGAGTGCAAGCAGAAGCAAGGTGGGGCGCTGCCTCACCCAGGAAGTGCAAGGAGTGGGGGACCTCCCTCCGGGCCTCCCTCCGCCAGCCAAGGGAAGCTGTGAGGGGCTGTGCTGTCTGGCCCAGACACTATGCTTTTCCCACAATTTTTGCAATCCACAGAACAGGAGAGTCCCTCATGTGCCTACACCACCAGGGCCCTGGGTTTCAAGCACAAAACTGGGTAGTTGTTTGGGCAGACACCGAGCTAGCTGCAGGCTTTTTTTTTCCGTACCCCAGTGGCGCCTGGAACCACAGTGAGACAGAACTGTTCACCCCCTGGAAGGGGGGCTGAAGCCAGGGAGCCAAGTGGGCACACACAACAGGTCCCACTCCCACAGATCCCAGCAAGCTAAGAACCACTGGCTTGAAATTCTCGCTGCCAGCACAGCAGTCTGGAGCTGACCTGGGACTATGGAGCTTGGTGCGGGGAGGGGCATCTGTCATCACTGAGGCTTGAGTAGGCGGTGTTCCCCTGACAGTGCTAAGGAGGCCTGGAAGTTTGGACTGGGCGGAACTCAACATAGCACGGCAAAGAGGCTGTGGCCAGACTGTGTCTCTCGATTCCTCCTCACTGGGCAGGGCATCTCTGAAAGAAAGGCAGCGGTCCCAGTCAGGGGCTTAGACAAAACCCCCATCTCCCTTGGACAGAGCACTTGGGGAAAGGGGTGGCTGTGGGCGCAGTTTCAGTGGACGTAAACGTTCCTGCCTGCTGGCTCTGCAGACAGCAGCAGATGCTGACAGGGAGGGTTCTTCCAGCACAGTGCTCGAGCTCTGCTAAGGGACAGACTGCCTCCTCAAGTGGGTCCCTGACCCCTGTGCCACCTGACGGGGAGAGACCTCCCAACGGGGGTTGACGGACATCTCATACAGGGGAGCTCTGGTTGGCCTCAGGCCAGTGGCCCTCTAAGATGAAGCTTCCAGAGGAAGGAGCAGGCAGCAGTCTTTGCTGTTCTGCAGCCTCCACTGGTGATACCCAGGCAAATAGGTTCTGGAGTGAACCTCCAGCAAACTGCAGCACACGCAGAAAAGAGGCCTGACTGTTAGAAGAAAATCTAACAAACAGAAAGCAGTAACATCAACATCAACAAAAGGTCCCCCCCCACAAAAACCCCATCCAAAGGTCATCAGCCTCAAAGATCAAAGGTAGGTAAATCCACAAAGCTGAGGAAAAACCAGCTCAAAATTGCTGGAAATTTCAAAAACCAGAATGTTTCTTCCCCAAATGACCGTAACTCCTCTCTAGCAAGGGCACAAAATTGGACAGAAAATGAGTTTGACAGAATTGACGAATTGACAGAAGTAGGCGTCAGAAGATGGGTAATAACAAATTCCTCTGAGGTAAAGAGCATGTTTTAACCCAATGCAATGAAGCTAAGAACATTGACAAAAGCTTATAGGAACTGCTAACTAGAATAATCGGTTTAAAGAAGAACATAAATGACCTGATGGAGCTGAAAATCACAGCACGAGAACTTCGTGAAGCATACACAAGCATCAATAGCCAAATAGATCAAGAGGAAGAAAGGATATCAGAGACTGAAGAACAACTTACTGAAATAAGGCATTAAAACAAGATTAGAGAAAAAGAATGAAAAGGAACAAACAACGCCTGCAAGAAATAGGGGACTATGTGAAAAGACCAAACCTATGCTTGATCAGGGTCCCTGAAAGTGACAGGGAAAATGGAACCAAGTTGGAAAACACACTTCAGAATATTATTCAGGAGAACCTCCCCAACCTTGCAAGACAGGCCAACATTCAAATTCAGGAAATACAGAGAAAATCACTAAGATACTCCTCAAGAAGAACAACCCCAAGACACATAATTGTCAGATTCACCAAGGTTGAAATGAAGGAAAAAATATTAAGGGCAGCCAGAGAGAAGGGTCAGGTTACCTACAAAGGGAAGCCCATCAGACTAACCGTGGATCTCTCTGCAGAAACCCTACAAGCCAGAAGAGAGTGGGGGCCAATATTCACCATTCTTAAAAAAATTTTCAACCCAGAATTTCATATCCAGCCAAACTAACCTTCATAAGTGAAGAAGAAATATAGTCCTTTACAGACAAGTAAATGCTGAGGGATTTTGTCACCACCAATCCTGCCCTACAAGAGCTCCTGAAGGAAGCACTAAATATGGAAAGGAAAACTGGTACCAGCCATTACAAAAACACACCAGAATATAAAGACCAACAACACTGTGAAGAAACTGCATCAAGGAATGTGCAAAATAACCAGCTAGCGTCATGATGACAGGATCAAATTTACACATAACAATATTAACCTTAAATGGAAATGGGCTAACTGCCCCAATTAAAAGACACAGACTGGCAAACTGGATAGAGTCAAGATCCATCAGTGTGCTATATTCAGGAGACCCAGCTCACATGCAAAGACACACATAGGCTCAAAATAGAGGGATAGAGGAATATTTACCAAGCAAATGGAAAGCAAAAAGAGCAGGGGTTGCAATCCTAGTCTCTGATAAAACAGAGTTTAAAGCAACGAAGACAAGTGAGGGCATTACATAACGGTAAAGGAATCAATGCAATAAGAAGAGCTAACTATCCTAAATATACATGCACCAAATACAGGAGCACTCAGATTCATAAAAGAAGTTCTTAGAGACCTACAAAGAGACTTAGACTCCCACATAATAATAGTGGGAGACTTTAACACCCCACCGTCAATATTAGATAGATCAACGAGACAGAAAATTAACACGGATATTCAGGACTTGAACTCAGCTCTGGACCAACAGACCTAATAGACATCTACAGAACTCTTCACCCAAAATCAACAGAATACACATTCTTCCTAGCACCACATAGTACTTATTCTAAAATTGGCCACGTAATTGGAAGTAAAACACTCCTCCACAAATGCAAAAGAATGGAAATCATAACAGTCTCTCAGACCCATACTGCAGTCAAATTAGAACTCAGGATTAAGAAACTCACTCAAAACCACACAATTACATGGAAACTGAACAGGCTACTCATGAATGACTACTGGGTAAATAACAAAATCAAGGCGGAAATAACAAAGTTATTTGAAACCAATGAGAACAAAGACACAACATACCAGAATCTCGGGGACACAGCCAAAGCAGCGTTAAGAGAAAAATTTATAGCACTAAATGCCCACATCAGAAAGTGGAAGAGATGTAAAATTGACACTCTAACTCACAATTAAAAAACTAGAGAAGCAAGAGCAAACAAATTCAAAAGCTAGCAGCAGATAAGAAATAATTAATATCAGAGCAGAACTGAAGGAGATAGAGACATGAAAAGCCCTTCAAAAAATCAATGAATCCAGGAGTTAATCTTTTGTGAAAAGACTAACAAAATAGATAGACCACTAGCTAGACTAATATAGAAGAAAAGAGAGAAAAATCAAATAGACACAATAAAAAATAATAAAGGGGATATCACCACTGACCCCACAGAAATACAAACTACCATCCGAGAATACTATAAACACCTCTATGCAAATAAACTAGAAAATCTAGAAGAAATGGACAAATTTCTGGACACACACACCCTCCCAACACTAAACCAGGAAGAAATCGAATCCCTCAATAGACCAATAACAAGTTCTGAAGTTGAGGCAGTAATTAATAGCCTACCAACAACAACAAAAAAGCCCAGGACCAGACAGATTCACAGACCAATTCTACCAGAGGTACAAAGAGGAACTGGTACCATTCCTTCTGAAACTAGTCCAAACAATAGAAAAAGAAGGAATGAGGCCAGCATCATCCTGATTCCAAAACAAGGCAGAGACACAATAAAAAAGGAAAATTTCAGGTCAATATGCCTGATGAACATCTATGCAAAAATCCTCAACAAAAACTGGCAAACAGAATCCAGCAGCATGTCAAAAAGCTTATCCACCATGATCAGGTGGGCTTCATCTCTGGAATGCAAGCCTGGTTCAATATATGCAAATCAATAAACGCAATCAACACATAAAGAGAACAAATGACAAAAACCACATGATAATCTAAATAGATGCAGAAAAGGCCTTCAATAAAATTCAACGCCCCTTCATGCTAAAAACTCTCAATAAACTAGGTATTGATGGAACATATCTCAAAATAATAAGAGCTATTTATGACAAACCCACAGCCAATATCATACTGAATGGGCAAAAGCTGGAAGTATTCCTTTTGAAAACCGGCACAAGACAAGGATGCCCTCTCTCACCACTCCAATTCACCATAGTATTGGAAGTTCTGGCCAGGGCAATCAGGCAAGAGAAAGAAATAACGGGTATTCAGATAGGAAGAGAGGAAATCAAATTGTTTCTGTTTGCAAATGACATTATTGTATATTTAGAAAACCCCATTGTCTCAGCCCAAAAATCTCCTTAAGCTGATAAGCAACTTCAGCGAAGTCTCAGGATACAAAATCAATATGGAAGAATCACCAGCATTCCAAATCAACAAACGTAATCCATCACATAAACAGAACCAATGACAAATCCACATGATTATCTCAATAGATGCAGAAAAGGCCTTTGACAAAATTCAACACCCCTTCATGCTAAAAACTCTCAATAAACTGGGTATCAATGGAACATATCTCAAAATAATAACAGGTATTTATGACAAACCCACAGCCAATATCATATTGAATGGGCAAAAACTGAAAGCATTCCCTTTGAAAACGGCACAAGACAAGGATGCCCTCTCTCACCACTCCTATTCAACATAGTATTGGAAGTTCTGGCCAGGGCAATCAGGCAAGAGAAAGAAAGAAAGGGTATTCAGATAGGAAAA